CATCAGCGAAATCACCAATATTCTTAACTTCCTCTCTGAACTTCCCCTTCACCTTCCTGCACTAGTAACACTGTGGTTTCCACTGAGGGCACAGCTTCACCTTGCAAGGGATGCCTGTGCTTTTTTTTCTCCTGCAGTCCTTCTCCTCTGGCCTGGATTTCCTTGTTCCTCATTGCCACTTTTCAGATAATTTTCCTCTTCCATTAATCCCCATATTGCTGTCCTCTTTTGACCACTGACTCTGGTGATTTTTGTTCCTTGCTTAGTGTCATTTTGTCCATTATTACTCTTGTCTTAATTCTTCATGATTACAGTATACACAGATGATCCTTCTGACACTGCCCACTCAGTTCTGTGAACTCTCTCATAATGATTTTGTTCTCTACCTCAGCCAGTTATTTTCACAGTCATACTCTAACCAGTGCTTCTCGAACTATCTGTTGTGAAGGACTAGTATATATATATTTTAAAGATTTTATTTATTTATTAGAGAGAGAGGGGGAGAGAACTTGCGTGGGCACATGAGCGGGGGGAGGGGGCAGGAGAAGAAGGAGAAGCAGACTTCCCCCGCCCCCCCCCAGCAGGGAGCCTGGCATGGGGCTCGATCCCGGGACCCTAAGATCATGACCTGAGCCAAAGACAGACACTTAACCGACTGAGCCACCCAGGTGCCCCAGGACCAGTGTATTTTTATTTCCAATCCATCATTGGTGAATGTTTTTGGTAAAATACAATTAATTAGGGTGCATGGGAGCAGGGAGCCGCCTCCTCCCTCTGCCTCTCTCTCCCTCTGTCTCTCATGAATAAATAAATAAAATCTTTTAAAAAATACAATTATTTACTAGGAAATTGAAATGCTGTTTGTCATGACATGTCATGACAATACCAAATTGCTGTATAAGTCTCTTAATCAATTTTCTTAATTTCTGTACTTCTCTCATTGCAGACAGTCCTTTAAGAACACCACTTTGAGGGGCACCTGGGTGGCGCAGTCGTTAAGCGTCTGCCTTCGGCTCAGGTCATGATCCCAGGGTCCTGGGATCGAGCCCTGCATCGGGCTCCCTGCTTGGCGGGAAGCCTGCTTCTCCCTCTCCCACTCCCCCTGCTTGTGTTCCCTCTCTCACTCTGTCAAATAAATAAAATCTTTAAAAAAAAAGAAAAAAAAGAACACCATTTTGAGTGGCACTATTTTAGATCTCATCAGTTACCAGTAAATGCAACCCTTCCATAATCCATTTCATTCACAGCGCTCTCGGACTGCCACCTTCTCTTTGCAGTTCACTATAGGACCTTGACTCCACTGGGATGTCCATTCCATTGGGCATTTTCACTGCCCTGTACCTTCTGGATGTGATCATTAGAATCATTTCCTTGTATACACTCTTGTTTCTTTCTTGCACCGATCTACTTGCTTAGTAAAACTAGAATTCTGGTTAAACCCAGCTTCTTCCTCCTCTGTGCTTAGACTTACACAGCTGAATTTCAGAGGAGAAAAACATACCTGTGTGTCCCAGTCTCACTTGAAGTTCATGCTATAGCCTTAAAGTGGGCCTTTATTATGGTCTGAAAATCATATACTGTAACTGCTCTAGTGTCTTCATTTTCACCATACTTTTTCACACCTGGTCTTCTGATCAGCCTCAACACCACCTCATTCATCTTCACTGTTAACGATGACCTTGCTTTCTACTTCCTTGAAAAATTTGTAGTCAGAGGGAACTTCCATAGATTCCCATTGTGTTTATCATTGGGCCATGAAAATTAGAATGACACCTTTAGTCTTGACAATTTCTGTCTTAAGGTCTGTTTTGCCTAATAATCATAGAGATAAATAAGCTGGGGGATTATATGATTTCTTTTCATTTATATATTTTTTTATTTTGTTAAACCTTTATAAGTCCCTGTGTATGGAATATGGACATTAAACAGTAACAGTTGTGCAAAGTGCTGTGAAAGAAAACAGGTGTGTAATCTTTTTTTTCCCCTTAAAGATTTTATTTATTTATTTGACAGAGAGAGAGACAGTGAGAGAGGGAACACAAGCAGGGGGAGTGGGAGAGGGAGAAGCAGGCTTCCTGCTGAGCAGGGAGCCCAATATGGGGCTGGATCCCAGGACCTGGGATCATGACCTGAGCCGAAGGCAGATACCTAGCAACTGAGCCACCCAGGTGTCCCAAAATAGGTGTGTAATCAGTATATAACAGGGATCCTATTAGTAAGGTACCAAAGGCTACCCCAAGGAAATGATACTTACTCTGATATCTGTGAAGAGTAGCCAGCAAGGGGGCAGGCACAAAATGAGTGTGAAAGGCCAGAGATCTGAAAAAGCCATTCATGACACATTCTTTGTATCTGGAAGGAGTTAGGGTGTGAGTGGCCCAAGATGAAGCTGGAGATGTGGGCAGAGGTTTTGAGCAGGTAAGAGCAATCACACACTACCTTCTCCTCTTAAGTTTGTGTTAATAGTCCCTACCTAGCGTGGAAATTGAGTAGTATTGCAAATTATTCTTTTTGACACTATGTAAATTACTGTGCTTAGCAGTTTTATTCTCCTCACATTTTCTGTAGCAAGTGTTATAATCCTTTTCCATTTTCACAAACCTCCAGATGTGCTCTTTTCACCTTGTATTAAGTTTTGCCGACCAAGAATAAGGTCTGATATGAGAGAAACTCCCTCCAGATTTTCGCAGTAGCCTCATTTAGCCTTATACTTTGTACTTTCCACTCCTTTCATTTAATACTTTCCACTTCCCTGTCTCAGAGGGGCAGTGTATTGCTTCCTTTCCATGGTTTAGCTCTCCTACCTGTCCTCATCTTTTGTCATCTTAGTTTCTTAGTGAACACAGGACTAATAAAACAAATGCTGCATTTTGATTGTCCAGAACTGAAGGCCTGTTTTTAATTAATTTATTTTTTTTAAAGACTTTATTTGAGAGAGAGAGTGAGCACATGCGTGCACCCAAATGGCAGGGTGGGAGGGGGGAGAGGAATAGGGAGAAGTAGACTCCCCGCTGAGCAGGGAGCCTGATGTGGGTCTCAATCCCAGGACCCTGGGATCATGACCTGAGCTGAAGGCAGGTGCTTAAGTGATTGAGCCACCCAGGCACCCTTTTATTTTTATTTTTTTTAAAGATTTATTTATTTATTTTAGTGCGAAAGAGCACAAGCGCTCAGAAGAGTGAGTTGGGGGGAAGGGCAGAGGGAGAGACCCTTCAAGCGGACTCCTACTTGAGCGCAGGGCTCGATCTTACAACCTGAGATCATGACCTGAGCCAAACCAAGACGACGATGCTTAGACGACGATGCTTAACTGGCTGAGCCACCCAGGCATCCCTGACAGCCTGATTTTGAAAATTATTGCATATAATCCTTTTTAAAGGGGAGAGAGAGAAACTCAGATAAAACTCAAGTTGCCTTGAACTACTCTCCTCTTGGTCATCCCCCTACTCTTGTAAGACATTTATAAAATACTTTCTGTTTATGTGGAATCTAAAAAAACCCTTTCTATAAACATGTTATATTTGCCTTGTAAAAATATTGTTCTGCCTGCTGTATAGAGCACAGGTTTGTGGGTAGGAGCAACACTGAATATATATAGAGAGGAGATGATGATTTTTGGTCGTTCTATTGAAAAATAAATTATGGAGGTTGTGTTTAGAGTGGTTGACAGTGGAGATGGAGAATACTAGGCTAGAAATATGAGGTAGGACTGATAGGAATTAGTGAATGATGGGATGCAGTGAGTAAAGGAGAAGGCATTGTCAAGGATAATCCTCAGGTTTCTGACATGAGCAACTGAAGTATTAGTGGTGTTATTATTTTTTTTAAATTAATTAATTATTTATTTATTTAAAAAATAGAGAGAGGGAGGGAGAAAGCATGCGGGCAAGCACGCATGCAGGGATGAGGAGCAGAGGGAGAGGGCAAAAGACTGTTAAGCAGATTCTGCACTCAGCACGGAGCCCAACGTGGGGCTCAATCTCACAACCCTGAGATCAGGACCTGAGGTGAAACCAAGAGTCAGATGCTCAACTAGCTGTGCCACCCGGGTGACCCATAGTGGTGCTGTTTTTACTGAGCTAGGGAAAGATAGAGAAGGAGCAGAGTGGGGTAATTCAGAGATGACTAATTTGGTTTTGGACATGAAGAGATTATGGTGCCTTTGTGAAATCTAAATGCACATGTCAAATGGCTGTTTGGGTAGACTAGTATAGAGCTTGGAGAAGAGCTGAGATGGAGAGACAGAATTACTAGTATAGGGATGGTATTGGAAACTGGATGTAGGGCGCCTGGGTGGCTCAGTCATTAAGTGTCTGCCTTCGGCTCAGGTCATGATCCCAGGGTGCTGGGATCCAGCCCCGCATGGGGCTCCCTGCTCCGCGGGAAGCCTGCTTCTCCCTCTCCCACTCCCCCCTGCTTGTGTTCCCTCTCTTGCTGTGTCTCTCTCTGTCAAATAAATA